CGATACAACTCTACGCACACTTAACGTTTGATTTACCTAGAACAAGAATAAAACTAGAAGTACTTTGCGAGAATAAAACTACGAATAAATTGCAAGATAATAAAATTTAGTTGTTTAGTAGAAAGCTTTTGTCACACAAGAAAGTTATTTGTCCCTAGGTGATCGATAACTAGACCGGTAATCATTGTTGCAATTTTATATGAGGGGGAGGCATGAGCTAACATACTTTCCGTACTTGGATCATATGCACTTATGATTGGAACTCTAGCAAGCATCCACAACTGCCAAAGATCATTAAGGTAAAATCCAACCATAGCATTAAGTATCAAGTCCTCTTTACTCCCATACGCAACAACCCACTTACTCGGGTATGTGTTTCAGTCACTCACGCCACCCACCATAAGCAAATCATGAACATATTGCAACACCCTACAATGGGGATCCCTCACGTTTGCACAACACAGAGGGCACCATATGACATCACCGAAATAAGATATACAACTCAAACCAATCATGATCATCAATCAACCCATAGGACAAAACGGTTCTACTAAAACATCATAGGATAACCACATATCATTGGATAAAAATATATATTGTTGAGCACCATGTTTAAGTAGAGAATTGCAGCAGGAATAGAGAGGTTAGACCGCGGCATAGAGCCATAGAGGGGGAGAAAGTTGGTGTTGATGGTAGCAAGATTGTTGATGTAGATCATTGTCATGATCCTTGCCCTGCCGGCACTCCGGCGCCACCGGGAGAGAGCCCTCCCTTCTTCTTCTTCTTCTTCTTCTTCTTTTTCTTCTTCTTCTTCTTCTTCTTCTTCTTCTTCTTTTCCGAGATTGGATCTCTCTCTCTTCGTTCTCTTCTATTTCACGTTCGTGTTTTCTGGTCGAAAACCGTTTCTTAAACATCCGGAGAACCGTATCTCCAATTGCGCTGAAATTTTAACACGATTTTTCCCAGATATAATCTTCCTTGCAGCCAAATAAGAGATCCAACTGACTTACGAGGTGCCCACTAGGCACCACTGCGCGCCAGGGAGTAGGCCACGCCCTGGTGGGTAGTGGAGGCTGTGGGCCTCCGTTTCCGTTGATTCCACCTCCCAAAATTCACATGTATTCCAAAACAATTCTCCATAAAATTTTAACGCGTTTGGACATCGTTTGATATGGATATTCTACGAAACAAAAAACATGCAGCAAACAGGAACTGGCACCGGACACTGGATCAATATGTTAGTCCCAAAAAATCATATACTTTGTTGCCAAAAGTATGTGAAAGTTGTATAATATTGGCATGGAACAATCAAAAATTATAGATACGACGGAGACGTATCACCAATCTCTAGCCGCCAAGCCCTGCTCATGCTCCCAGCCCTCTTCATGCGGCCGATCACGTAACCCTCGATCCCTGGGAGAGCTCCCTCCAAGAACTCAACACCACCGGGCGATTGCCCCACGGTGGGCGCCAACTATCATGCTTTTGTCATGACAGATGTCCTTGTGAAAGGACTTAGTCATGAGGCCATCGCCACTAAGTAGCTCGAACGGGGTTGATCGGAATTGAGGGACAATGGTTTACCCAAGTTCGGCGCCTCACGGTGGAGGTAAAAGCCTACTCCTGCTTGATTGCTATTGATGATGATGATCTCGATTACAAGGGTGTGGCCTGGCTAACCTAGTACTCGAGAGATTGTAACCTAGTCTTTCTGCCTCAGGGTCTCACCTTTATATATAGGTGAGGCCCTGGGCTTACAACAGAGTCCGGGGCATACTACAATCCGTGCTCTAACATGTTTCCTACTTGCCTTGTTCCCTAAGTAAGAAACTTCATTCGACGTCATAGTAGATACTGCCAGCTTGTGTCTCTGGGCTATGAGTCGGCCCATCTGATGACTCATCTTCTGGGCCTTGAACTCGTGGTCATCCCAGCCCATCATCCGAAACATACTTTTGTCAAGTCGCCGAAGGATGACCAGGCCCTGAACGGGCGGGTCATATTGCGGGTTTATATCCCCAGCAACTGGGGAGATCGGTGAGCACAAAGAGAAGAACTAGCAGAACGCACGAAGTTTATCCATGTTCGGGCCGCTATGAAGCATAAAACCCTACTCCTGCTTTGGTGTATTGGATGTATACACAAGTACAAGGAGCGCAATTCCAGTAAGGTTGCGCGGGAAGTGCTGCTACGCGCGTGTTTGTGCAAATTGTCGACCTTTGTAAAGGTGGCCATGTGCCTCCTTTTATAGAGAAAGGGGTCACCAAAGTGGCAAAATGGTAAATATACATTTTGAATAGTGGCTATAGTGCTAAATACCTAACTTTGTGGGTTAGGACAAACACGTTAATTGCGCCCGAGGTGTCTTGTGGATGGAGCTCCCCGACCAGAATGGTCTCTACTTCCGTGTCGTTCACCTATCTACCTTCCATTTCCTTGACACATTGCCATGACGGGTGCCATTAAACCTATATCTACAGCGGCGAGCTGCCACGTGCCCAGACAAGACTCACCTAACTACCTGCCCGCTCGACACCTATATGACAAGTGCCACCTTGATCGATGAGGTGGAGTGTTGGCAAGGTAGTGGGATTCTTGCTGGGCTCGGAGCTTGCCGGGCTTCGCTAACTCCCCGGCAAGGATCTTGCCGGGCCTCCTAAGCTGGATCTTCGGTGCTTCCGATCACTGGCTTAGGTGTCTTCTTTGCATCTTGTCATCTGGTCTTGAATTTATTCTTAGTTGTCCTCCGGCAAGCCTTGCCATCGGGAAGGCTGCTATTGCCTGTGCATAAGTCTGGGGGCACCAAGGACCCAAATCTTAGTACATCGACAACGCATGACTGGACGGAACGAACTGATATCTACCACACCCGTTCAATGTCGTTGTCCATCCGTATGCCGACATTAACCAGGCTCACCGGCAAAGAAACTTGCTTCGACACCGCGTAGACGCACCCGGACGCCTCGCCTCACCGGAATCCGCTATATAAAGGTGGCCACACCCGGATAACTCCACACCACAACACAAGCCCCTCTCCATCCTCCTTCCTTGCACTGCATCCGCCATGACTGCAGGCAGCGAAGCTCTATTGGAGAGCCTTTCCACGGAGATGAAGCACGCCGTGGCTGCCCTTCCTGCCACCTGGTAGAGCTGTCGTGCCAAGCAGATCGAGGCCGGCTTGTTGGCCTACTCGCCCGAAGTCTTTGACAACGAGGACGAGACCACGATGAAGACGGGCGCCGACGACACGCCCCGGCTCCCGCGCATCATGTGCACGCCGGCTTCACCATGCAGCAGGCGCATGCGCACCACAAATGCTGCCATGGCGGAGATGCAGCCTACGTCAGAGCCTTTTTCAATGTTTCGGTAGACGCAAAGAGGAACAACGGTACAACCCGTTCCTCCTGGAGCAGCACCGGCTGGCGGAGGGCCAGATCTACGGCGAGCAGGCGAGTGAGGAGATCGTGGCGGCCATGGCCGCGGCGAACCACAACCTCATTGCGGAGCAGTATGCCATCTAGGACGCTGTCCGCGCTCAAGTGTCCGCTCACCAGGAAGCAACCATAGTGGAGGCACAGTTGCAGATGACCGCGAAGGAGAACAATGCCGGCTGCGCCTCCTACACGCCACCGATGAACCATTAGGCGGCCCGGTGGGATGAGGACAACGTCGGCGCGCACCATTTACATCGTGGACCTCATGTCCATTGACGATGGACAGGTCGCGGACTCCTCCGAGGATGAGTAGGCCACGGGAGGCAGCAGGGCCTGGTGTCCCACGTGGGCCGGTCCGTCTCCCGTGTTCTACTCTTCCTCGCTGGAGACCGCACCTTCACTTCATCGGTCTTATCGCTAATGCTCATGGAGACGACGGATGGAGGATGACTTAGATTTATGGTCAGGTCTTTTTTTGTTCTATATGCTCAAAATGTAATGCAAATCCGCCGTGTTTGTATGAAGTCCGTCATGTTTGTATGAAATCCCGTCGTGTTTGCATGAATTTCATCCGGGTTGTTGAAAAAGAGTTTATAATGTATGCAACTAGCGTTGGATGACGTCCTCCCGCATCCATGTCCGTGGACTGGTCCCCCCTGTCCGCGGACGGATGCAGGAGGGAATTTACGGGTTGGCGTTGGAAATGACCTTAGTGAACATTCTGCAATAGGGGCAAATCTAAACACGGGATCGTTGCGTTCATCCTCATAAGTCAAATAAAAATAAAATTTGACCCACCCAGGGTTTTGCATGATACAAGGGGTTTAACTCAACCAAATGCTTACGCATCAGCTGCCGTATAGATATGCACCAAACATGATCTACAAAACATCATGCGTTGCACAATGTCTTGACACTTTGCTAACTACGAGCATAATTGGTTTGGTGTCAAAAATTGGTATGCCAATGTTTGGCATTATGTCAAATATTGATTACTAATTGATTGATTACCAAATTGACCTGCCTATCTCATATAAAGTTGCCAATATTTGATAAGTATTGGTATTGCCAATATTTAACAGTGCCAACAGTTAGCTAGTCAAATATTAGTAACAAACCAATCATGCTCACATAATTGAGAACCCAACTATGCTTTTTGTCGAAAACCCATAACTGAGTTTTAAGGGCAGCATATCTCACGGGCAAACCCTAAACCCTAGAACCACTAAACTTAAACATATTCAAGTTTTAGTGGCAGTGAATATCTGCTTATACCCCGCAAAAAAGAATCTGCTTAACTGAGAATTGAGAGGCGCGGGAAATTACTCCGAGCGCGCGAAGGAAAAACGTTCGCTCGTCAATTTCCCCACCCCCGCACTGCCCAGGCAATCGTGGGACCCAAACCCCCGCTAAACCTGTCACAGCCCTGCCCCGTCTGCCTCCTCGAGCTTCGAGCGTCATCTCCCCCCGCCTCAGCCGCCTGTGCCCCCGCTCTCCCAAATCCCGACTCAAATCCTCCCCGGAGAGAGTCGGAATCAGCCGGTCTACCATTGCCTCGGCACGCCGATGGGGATCCCCAACCTGCTCCGCTTCATGAAGCCGTTCATCGAGCCCGTGCACATCAAGAAGTACGCCGGCCAGCGGGTGAGCAGATCCCCCGAATTCCGCAGGTTCCGTTTCATCTTTCGTCCTTCGCGAGTTCATTCGTTACTCATTGGTTCTCCTCCCCCGCTTTCGCAGGTCGGCATCGACGCGTACTCCTGGCTCCACAAGGGGGCCTACTCCTGCAGCATGGAGCTGTGCATGAGCCCCAGGAGCGCCGGCGCCAGGCGCTACATCAGCTACTTCATGCACCATGTCAACCTCCTGCGGCACCACAAGGTCGTGCCCGTCGTCGTCTTTGACGGGGGCAGCATGCCCTGCAAGTCGGCCACGGATGAAGACCGGCATAAGTACGCCCATTCGAATCGTCAATACTATTTGGTTAAGAAATGCAGTTCCTTTTCCGCCCTTCCTTCTGCGCAGTTTCATTTGTCGCCTCGTAACTTGCCGCGATGGTTTGAGATTATATGATCTGTTACTAGTATGTTAGGCAACTCACATTGGAAGTATGCATGTATACAGAGGATTCGGTCCTAGTCAGCATTGGGAGTCTCTTTTGGTAGCTGGCTTTCAGTCTTAATATTTAGACAGTACTGCAATCTGCCATCGACGAATGTTATTTATGTTCCTTGAAGATTGTTTTTTGTTGTCCAAAAAATAAATACAATATTGCCCTGATGCACAAATTTCTATGATGGATTTAAATGCAACGAAAATCAGGTTAATGTCCTGTTTCTGATACACACAATTTTATAAGTCACTTGGTTACTAAAATTCAGGAAGAGAGAACTCAGTTTGGTGTTGGGGAAAGAAAAGCTTGAGCAAGGAAATACAGCTGCTGCAATCGACCTTTTCCGGGTAAGCATCTAATTATCCTTGCAATATTTACCAGACCAAGAAAATTCTGAATACTTGATATATTCTGGCATTCAATGTGTATGTAACCAAGACATATTAGAAACAACCATTTAAAAAATACAATGTTGTACAAATACCTAATAATATTAGGTGAGAAACATAATATCTTTATGTGTATTCCTTGTCCAAGATTTAAAATGTGACTGATGTCAGCAAAATTTTGAACTTCTAATGACTTAGAAATACTTTTGAGTAACAAATTTACTAGTAATACAATTTCCAGGTAAAGCTAAAATACCTATACATTTATATGTGGTCAATATATTTTGAAATGAACTGCAAGCTGTAGAATGTCAAGCAAAGATAATGGGGGACAGTAGTTTGTTACTGTGGATTGCCAAATCAATAAAACACTGTTTACAACAAAAGAGCAAACACAAGATGCACAACTACTATTAACAGTTTACCATGCACTTGAACTTTGATGTTTCCTTTTTTTCCAATGCATTTTCTATTACTAGTCGTGTAATTCTAGTCCGCAAGAGAAAAAGCAAGATTTTCCATTCTTCATGTTGACCTAATTAGATAGAAGTAGAAATGTGGAATTATGCTTGTCCATAAATTCATGCGTTCAGCTTTGTTAGGAATTTTTTTCAATTTACAAATGAAGTTTGAATTATCTTCCTCTTAAAATTCACCATTTCAGCCTATGTCCTCATCATTCTCTTAGTATCCCCCTTTCGACTCGGACCTTTTGCACTGTGTTTAACAATTAACAATATAAAATATCAGCACAAAGTTCCTTTGAGCAGCTGGCGACTTGTTTTTCTACCACTTTAAAGGAAATATGGTTTGATGTTTCTAAGTTTCGAGTGTACTTTGATATGTCTGTTCCAAAAGCATCCTAATCTCATTCATCTGCAGAAAGCTGTGCAAATTACTCCATCGATGGCTTATCAATTGATTCAGGTGCTTCTTTGAAAGCTCTTCCATGTAACAATTCCTTACCTCATGTAGCAAAATCTAATCTTTGTAAACTCAGATTTTAAAGACAGAAAATGTTGAGTTCGTGGTTGCTCCATACGAAGCAGATGCACAGTTGGCATATCTAGCTACTCTAGATGCTGATCAAGGGGGCATAGCTGCTGTTATAACAGAAGACAGTGACTTAATAGCATATGGTTGCACTGCTGTGAGACATTCACTTTGGTCTTCATTTTTTGTTCTTGAATCATGTATTTTATCTAATGCATTTCAAGTTGTAGATTATATTTAAGATGGATCGCTTCGGGAATGGTGAAGAATTCAGAATGGAGAAAACCTTGAAGACTGTAAAAGATGGTCTTTGCTTCCAGGATTTTGATCAAAACCTTTTTACTGGTAAACACCATTTCTGCATCTTGAAGACTTGAACTAGAGCGCTATGGTGTTTTTCGAAAAGGAGGATAACCCCTGGCCTCTGATCAAGTGATGCACACAGCCATCTTTAGTATATTATTCAACAGAGTTTGAGAAAACAAATACATGGATCAACCAAAAGCCACCTTCCTTGTGATCAATGTCGCTATACCTACTAGTTGGATGATGCAGCCTGACCATGCATCAATGCACACCATCTAATCCGGTGGCCTCACCAAGCCGCCCCACGGCGAGCCGAAATCACCAATCTGTCTAGCAGACCCTCAGCGCGCACCGCATCCGAACGCTCTAGAATCTGCCACTGCCATGTTCCGCCATCCCAACTTCAGGAGAGATCAACGCATTGACCTTGCCGGGCCCAACTGCCGTCGACGCCACCATGTCGCTAGGCAGCGCCACCACCCTGCGTGCATCCATCAACACGTCCATCATTGAGAACCCGCTCCGCCACGCCGCCGAGACCCATCGTCGCCGACGCGGTAGATGTCACACCACACCACCTCCTGATCCAGATCGCCACCAACACCAACCCAATAGTGTCCATCAGCCACTTATCTCCCAAGGCGGTGCCTTCAAGAAGGGAACGACGCTGAAGGCGTCGTCGCCGCCCACCGCAGTTAGGGCTTTCACCTGGGAGACAAATGGTGTGATGGAGGTAGTAGTAGATCTGACGAATGTCTCCATGAAGAAAAAACGGCACCCTTGGGGACCGCCACTGTCACGGCCGACCAAGGCCGGCTAGGGATTTCTCCCGATCTGAATCCTCATCTCCAGCTCCATCCGCATCGAGGACCGGCAACTCTTGCGTCCCAGATCCGTACGGAGAAGCACACCGAGCATGCACCGGGTGAACAAGACCGCCGGGCACCTGCTGACCAATGGAGAGCCGTGGAGCCAACAGTGTCCTGATCAGCTGGATGGATTGGCCGGATCCAATCCATGTGCCCACCACCGAGCACATCACAACCAGGTGCAGGGCGGAGATGAAGCTTCCAGGAGGGAGGGAGAAGGCCCTGCTGCCGCCGCCTGCCACCGGTGGCTTTGCCCGGCGCTGACTGGCAGCGGTGAGGAGGGGGACGGGCTGACCGGGGAGCTAGTGGCGGCGGTGGCTGAATGCCTCCCGAGTCGCCCTACAGGACGACGCTGGGGCCAATGGTTTCGTTTCCGCTCCTAGAGCACTATGGTGTGACTGATTGGTTCACCTGTTAAAGAAGCATTTTGTTTTTGTTCATAGCATGCAGTAGCAAGTTATGCTGTCATCTTTTAGATCTGTCGAGCTCTTGTGCAATTAGGCCTTCCTTTTTGCAATATCTTCTCAGTTCTCACCCTGTTTTTTGTTTTCTATTGATGTTTTTAATTTTTATCTGGACAGGTATGTGTGTCCTTGCAGGATGCGACTTTCTTCCCTCGGTGCCTGGCATTGGTACTAAAAGGGCATATTCTCTCATCTCAAAACATAAAAATATTGACCTTGTAAGAAACTAAGAATAACTACTCTACTGATTCCATGCTATTTGTACATCTCAAAACATATTCTCAACAATGTCTAATCTGCTGTGATTAATGTTGTGGCATCCAGATATTTCAAAAATTCATCCATTCTCATGAAGAAACATGGCCCCTAACATCTCTGATATAATTATTGCCAGGTGTTATCAACCTTGAAGCTTGACAAGCGGTATTCCATGCCGGATGATTACATTGATTCCTTCTGGAAAACTCTTGCAGTATTCAATCATGCTAGAGTGTAAGATTGTGTTTGTGCTAGCTATGTGTATCTTGTAGTATGCATTTCAGAGACTGTACAAAATCTGATAAGTCACTTTCCTTCAAATGTCCCAGATACGACGTCAAAAGCAAGTCACTGAAACATTTAAAACCTTTGGAGGAACGATATCTTAACTACTTGGCAGGAAACCTGGATATTCTTGGACCGTATCCTTAAAGAGTTCTGTTTTATTCATGAGCTATAGCCTGTGACATCTATATTCAGTAATTTAATGGACGTCTGCTTTTCTTTAGAAAAACAGCACCAATATGGAACACGATTTTGATAAATGCAATTTTTGATACATCCATTTGCTGGTACATTAGACAGCTGAGGAAGAAAAAAAAAATCATACCTTCTTAGACAGGATCACAGAACACAAGTTACAACCATAGTGAATGCACAATTTCACAAGATATCTGTGTGCTGGTAATAGGCACCTGATATTAACACTGTTTTAATATGTTCCATAGAGCTATTTTATATTTCCTTATCTTATCAGTGCCCATTCCTTGATCTTCTAAAGAGCGCTAGCCCCATCAATGGCAAGAGCGATAGCCGAGGGGCGCTTGAATCCTGTTACAATGGAGACCTTTGACGAATTCTCCAGAACCATTAGCCCCGTCGAGTTTATTGATACCTCTGCTCTCAATGTGGCTAGTCAGTATGGTTCTCAGGAAATTTTGACACAAGAGAGCACTATTACTATCTGTTCATCTGAGGAAAGCAGAGATGACATCGCAGGTAAGTGTTGTCTTTTACTCTCTAAAAAGTATATCAAGTTAAACCATTGTTAAGCTGTGCATCAGTTACTTTGTTACCAAGGGTTCTATAAGACTTGTTTTTACTTAAAAGAGTGGCATTTTTACCTTTGCTCTTTACTGCAATGGAACAACTTTATTCCAGGACTTCTCAAAACTGTAACTTGTTTTCTTGAACAGCATTTGTTGTTGATGACATTACTAGTGGTGAACAGAAGTGCAACAAAGGAGTCCTTGCCCTTGGCAAGTTTCTACCGCAGAAGCATTCCTCTCCGGCAGTGGAATGCAAAGAAGTGAAGCCTAAGAACACACCTGACAACAACCCATTCAAGAAGAGGAAATTACCCACTGACCAAGGTAAAGTACCAGATCAAAACGAGTTGCTAATCGATCTGGATGAAGAAGAAGCAGTTGTATTGTGCTCATCATTGTCACGAGAGAGTGTTGGCCCAGCAGAATCTCTTGATAGAAATGGAGTGTCAACTGGATTGTGTTGGCCGTTGACACAAGAAAGTGTGGCGTCTATTCCGAATGAGAGATCATCTAAGAGGCAAAGTCAGCAGGAAGCTATCAGGAATATAACCAACAAAAATAAAGATGAAAGGAGTGGACTTCTGAAATTTTTCATGCGTTTGTAATCCTGTCATGTTTTCCACTTCATTTTGTTCTCATTTTTTCAATTCCATTCATTAAGAAATTAATCAATACATTGCAGTATGAAAAAGTTATTTCATATCTATGTATGAATTTATCTCAAAATGGAATCAGATATGATTTTATTTTAAATAGAAATTCATTGCATACAGTTCTGATCTACCCGCAATAAGCCATAGGTAGTCCTTTTTTTTGACGTATACGCATATACACCCACCTCTATAAACACACACATACACATCCCCCATGAACATTTTTAAGATACTAAGCCGACCTTATATTTTGTGATTGATGAAGTCACCATATACGTTTTTATAGTCGGAAATGTTTACTCCCACAAATGAACATCGCTGGAATGACTAAAATACGTTTTTGTAGTCGGAAATGTTTACTCCCATGAATGAACATCGCTGGAATGACTAAAATAAATCTAGAAAGCTGGAATGACTAAAATAAATCTAGAAAAATATGAACGCCAATGCTAAATTTAGAACTTGAATTCGATGGTTCCACTTCCACGATAGCAAACCTAACCAACTGAGTTTGCAGGTCATGTAAAAAAAAGAGAGAAGTGCATATTTTAACTCTGAACTCTTGCCCTAGTCTAATTTACAACCCTGAACTTTAATACCGTCTAAATTACAACCCCCAAGTCTCAAAACTGGTCAGGATTCAACCCTCCCCTCCCTGTTGACCGGTTTTGACCTGGGGTGACCAGTTTTGACTAGTCAACGGGTCCAATCAGCATGCCACGTCAGATTTTTTTCCTTCAAAATTTCAAGAAAAAGTAAATAAAAATCTATAAGATCAGGGAAAAAAATATAAAAAGGCAAAATTCCGAAAAAATTGTTCGCGAAAAAGCTAGGGAAAATAAAAAATGATTTTTTTTCTGGAATTTGAGTTTTTGGGTTTTTTCTAGAAATTCGTTTTTTTATTTTCCGTGTTTTTCGGAAATTGAATTTCTTATTTTCTTTTCCTGGATTTTCTTCGATTTTACAGGTTGTTTCCTTGGAAATTTTGCATTTTTTGCTGATGTGGCATGCTGACTGGACCTGTTGACTGGTCAAAACCGGTCAACCAGGTCAAAACCGGTCAACAGAGAGGGAAGGGTTGAATCCTGGCCAGTTTTGAAAGTTCGGGGTTGTAATTTAGATGGTATTGAAGTTCGGGGTTGTAAATTAGACTAGGTCAAAAGTTAAGGGTTGAAATATGCACTTCTCTTAAAAAAAAAACCCGAGTTTGCAGGTATTCGGCATCCGAAACTCGTGGTCTTCCCGAACCACATGAAGCCGACCTCACTACTCATTGCCGCGGCGCCGCCGCGTTCACCGCACTCATGCATTCGGCCGTCCCACTCGCACACCGACACCGGGTTCCCTTGGGGACGGCGGCGACGAGGAGACCCGGCCCTTGGCGCCGACCGGCGGCCCCATCGGTTCTCTACCTCGTGGCGCTAGTACCCCCACCCCCCCACGCGACGCAACAGCATCGTACAGCGATGACCGGTGAGTATTCCTCAGAGCCCAATGAGAATGAGGGACCCAACTTGCATAGTTAGTAAAAATTTACTGTAGGTTGTTACCGACAAGTCTGAATGTTTATGGCTGTGTTGAAAGCATGGAATGGTTTTCTCCCAATCTCTTTTGGTCTTTGCTGCATCTGCTGCAGAATGGTGCATAGATGATAAATCATATTTTCTTCTCATACTTGTATAAATTCTAGGCATCATAATCTGCAGCATTCCCCATTTCCCTACGTTGCAAATGGGCCCAAAAATTTCTCTCCTAGTTTTCCCCCTTTGTACCATTAGTAATCTGCGGTTTCAACCTCACTGTTTTACTGCACCATTTCTTTTATACTAGTTCACTTTCACTCTGCTGCTTTCGGTGACTAAAACTTTTGATTTTTTTTATGGCAATGATGAATTTGGCTCATTACGAGTCACAGACAACAGGCTAATGTCTTGTTCCTTCAGGAAGTGAGACAATTCCTTCGAAATACAGGCTGGAAAACCTGAGCTCTGTCAATGCAATTTTAATACTATTCAGTTGTGCTTCTGCACTGCTGCACATAAGCATATGACGCTCCTTTTCTTCTCTGTTGGGCTGATGTGGACTGGGAATCCATCCAGGTTTGGAGTGTTCTGGGAGTTTTGTTCTGGTCAATCTAATCAAAATATTGCTTTTTGAGTGGATGCTCCAATTGATCCAGATTGTTGGGTGTTTATTTGCTTCCTGGCGGAGTACCAACATCCAGTTTATTTCTGAAACAAACATTAAAATTTGGTTGATGACCTTTAAAGTACTGCATATATGCAGTACCTCCAGCGGAGACTCATGCAAACCCACTAGAGCAGAAGTCTATTAGAAGTCTATAAATGGTTGATGACCTTTAAAGTTTGAACAGAATGTTGCTCCAAACAGGGCCAAATCCCAAGTATCTTAGTACCTGCAACAAGAAAGGCCATGACATGGAATCGAAGGCCTTTGAGATATCCAACTTGAGGAGAACTCTCTGCTCTTTTTGCCAATGGAGCAATTTGGCTATTTGTTGGACCAAGATAAATTTTTCATGAATGCACATTCTTTTGACATAAGCACTTTGATTGGGAGACACCAAATCCTTGAGCTTCCTAGCCAGCCTATTGGCTAGCAGTTTGGTGATAAGCTTGGAAAAGCTATGGACTAGGCTTATAGGGTGAAAGTCTTTGATTTCCATGGCATCTGGAGATTTTGGTAGCAGGTGATATAGGCTGAATCCAGAAGGAATAATCTGCTCACATCTCCCTGCAGAACTCGCCATTGATGGATTTTTCATGATTTGGTTGCAATGCTTTTTGGACTTGGTATGTTCTCCGTCACCATTACATCACCTCATTATCCTCTATTGTGATTAGACCCGTCCGGAAATTAATTTTGGAACTTAGCTTGCTCGTGAGGGATGATATGTGCTCTGTCTTCTCCTAAGTGGTTCGATTTCTTGCATTTCTATTCTTTTAATGTTTAACTATAGCCCCACTTTGGGACCTTGCATGTTTGATTATGATTGTTCTTTTCTTGCAAATACTAGAATCCATATATATTAAACAAGTACAAGCTTTACAAGAACACCCTTGACAAAGGAATTTATAAACATGCCCAAGGGGAGTTCATCACCATCTTTGACCTGCACAATCCAACGGCGTGTCGTGGGCGTAGCTTGATCCGCACATGCCCTCTGTCGCCGAAACCAGAGAGTCATTGTAACTTTCCCTAGGAAATCATTATGTATTGCCAGGAGATGCCAATGATGACGTTCCGAAGCACGAATCGTCATCCTAGAGAAGAAGGCCACATGATGAGAGAACCAACCCCACATCACGCTGGAAGTGTCATCTAAAGATCTTATTGACATGACCATCGGCGTCACCGCGAGCCGAGGCGGAAGCATCGAGGTTGACTCCTCCTCCCTCCCCCTCCACCCCATTATCTGCCGGAATTGATTTGGGAAACCAATCCTCACGTGCTCCGAGGTGGCACCGAAGCCAGCAATGGACTTGTTCCATTGCGCTGTCGCCTCCACTGTTTTGATGGGCGACATAAGGACACCGAACCTAATAACCTAAACCAAGGCTTCCCATGAGGGCGCAATCCATGGTCTCTCGCGACTCTCGGTGCCGAAATTGGCCGCCAGAGGCGAGGGAGACCGATGGAATCAGACAACGAGGATGAGTGGTGACTAGGGATACATTAGACGGATCAGATGTCAGAGTAAGAAGACGCCACTGCTGCCTCGGACAAGGAAAAGTCTTAAAGAGTCACGCTCACATGGCAATTAGAAAAAAGTGGAAGTGTTTCTATTTCTGAAACTGGAATATTTCTTCGGTTCGGTACTCAGTTTAAGGCCGCAATAAACAAGCCCAAATGATAAGTGCCACACGTGTGGCACGAAGTAACACCGGCCTGACGTTTTTACAACTAAAATTGCCATCCGAAAAAAAAACCGAAACCCCCAAAAAAACTGAAACTTGCTATCCAAACAGAAAGTTGCCATGCTTCACAACTAAAGTTGCCATCCCTGGGTAACTAAAGTTGCCATCAGAAAATGTCAGGGCGGAATTGCTTCGTGCCACACGTGTGGCACTTGTATTTAGACTCTTGGTCTCTTTCTTGTTAATTACATGGAAAGAGCAGCATTGCAGTGATACAAATTAAAGCCACACATCATTACAGATAATTTATAGAAGACATTCCATTTGATAGTCTAAATCATACATTAAAATTAGTTCGACCAAACATAACATAACCTTGTTTCAGATCCCAAATGACAACCACTGAGTAAAAGTTAAATGTGATGTAAAACTGAACTCCATGACTGCAGTACAGGCTGATGCCATGCCATCTGCTAATCTAAATCATACATAGAAACTGGTTCTTCCTAACATATAGGATAACCTTATTTATGATCCCAAAAGATAACAGATAAAACTAAACTCCTTCTGACTAGCACAATTTCACACACAGAATGTGCAAGAATCAGCAGGTAGAGGAGCATCTCTCTGGAAGTTAGGGGCTAACGACCTAACTACAGCTCTCCACCCAAGATATTAACATCGTTGATTAATAAATCCTGCAGTCAGAAAATAAGTTTAGTTAGATGCAACCTTATCTAACTCCGTACTGCTAGTACATTTATATATGTGCAAAGCCTGACAAATTTAGAGAGAAGATAGTAAATGCCAAAACGAAAGCAGGCTCGGAAGAACATGGGCAGGCATCATGCAGCAAAAGAATGAGAAAGCTTCTTACTTCATTAAGCATGTTGTTCCTGGTAGAAATGTCATCCATCAAAAAACAATCATTAACAGCTTCCCAGAAATCATCACTGTCGATATTCAGTTGACCATCAACAGCTTCCTGATTAGCTGTGCCTTGTGCTTGCGCAGGGAGAACTCCGCCTGCACCACCATCATTCAGCATCTGTGTTGGCTCGGCAGAAATGCCCA